CAGGGAAGTTAGATAATGAGTCATAATAAGTTCTTGATAAAGCCTTGTTGATTGAAGGAGGCAGAATATCGTGATCCATCTGGTAACCAGCAGGCTGGAAAGCTGTGTTTTGCAAATTGTTTTGGAAACATAAGCTGGTGAGCTGTGACCAGCGTTTTGTAAATTGAATCAAACTAGAACAAATGGAACAAATAACGTAGAAGAGAATTTTTTTCATTCTCTCTGTGCATGTATGTGTATACTGAGTTGCAGTGTATTTAATCCTATAGTTTTCAGTTTAAAAAGTGTGAAAGCTGTTTGGAGCAGATGCCAGCCCTTCAGCTAAAATCCGGGAATCTATATTCGGCCACACCCAGTCTGTCTTACACGTGGCTCAGTCTGGGATGGAGAGAGAATGAGACCGTGGGTCTGCAGGCTGCCACATTTGATAGACGTATTGAAAAATCATCCAGCACCTGCCCAAGCCTCGCTCCTTATAAATGTTTTTTTCAGAAAGATGCTAACTGGGGTGGTGGTGGTTAGGGGGAGAGCAAGTAGATGCTGATAACAACAAGTAAAATGGAAGGAAACAGGGAGAAATGAGGGTCAGAGGGACTGTGGGACCCCAACACCCATCACAATGGGAACCTGTGGTCTCTGGGGGTCCCCAAACTAAGTTAAGGATCAACATGAATAAATCAATAAAACAGTATATGCTGGTGACTCAGACTGAGAAACAATACATCCACTGAGTAAGGAAAAAGAAAATGCTTTCACACATTATCCTCATATCTTTCTATAACTACAATCACACTTTTGGTTTTGCCTAATTTTTCAATTGACACCACCACCAATCTAGTGTAATAAAAGTGTAAATATTGAATTGTAACACACTGGTTACATGGTTGTAGTAGAAATAGGTTTTTATTTTCTAGATTTGTAAAACATTTTTGTGATTTTCATATGGGTGCTAAACAAACGAGACTGCGATTTATTTTCAAAACTGAGAATGAAATTTATTTCAGGGACTTCTGACCTTTCAGACACTTGCAGCTTAATTTCTCCTTGAGGACAGAATGGAATGGGCAGCCCCAGCTTCCTTGTAGGATTCGGACCACCAGGGCCCATGGTGATGCCCCCCAGCTGTCACCTCATCCAGCTCCCCTCTATGACTGAGCTCGACTGGATGTCTAGAATCCCAATCCCAACCCCAGCCCCACCCTGCAGCGGGTGGGAAAGAGACAGAGTGACCGCAGCATGCTCCAGCAGAACATTTCAGTGCAGCGTGTCTCACCAGGTGTGCGAGTGCATGCCTGTCTCCCTTGAGCCTGCTCTGGACCTGAAATCAGAAGAGATGTGCTTTCTCTTCTTCTGAGGTGTGGATGGTGGAGGCGGAGCAGCCTCGTGCTGGAGACGAGAAAACCTCCTTCTTCCAGTCCAAACCACCTGACGGTATGTCCCTGTGGATTCCGTTCTCTTTCGTTCTTCCTTCTTCCCTGCAATCTTCTGGGTCTTGCAGATGTCAACTGTGCTCCTAGGAATTAGTCAGAGCATCCAAGGTGGGAAGTGGCAACTGTCATTGACGAGAGAGCCTCCGAGGAAAGGGGACTTTGCAGGACGAGAGCCAGAACCACAAAGTCTCGTTTCCCTTTCCCGAGTGGAGTCTCACTCTCTTAGAGAACTAGGCTCTCACTCTATTAAGGCAAATGGCAGCATCCCTCAGAAGCTGCCCGGGTCTGGAGGGGGGAGGAGGATGTAGCACACAGAGTTCCCATCCCCCAAGGGCCCCAGAATTCCACCAAAGATGTGTGACCCTGAGAGCCGGGCCCCCCAGCCGCTTCTTCCAGACGTCATGGATTTGTCATTTGTGGCATAGTCTGTATTCTAGAAGGGAAACCAGGGAGGAATTTTCCACTTTCTTAATTTTCCAGACACAGCCTTGGATAAATCAATCAAACAATGCGTCGGTGGAAAGTTTATGCATATGAAGCAGGATCAAGAGCTGAGGAAAGGTCAACTGAGCAGGACAGAGCAGGAAGCCCTCTGAGTCACTGCAGGGGCCAGGCAGGGGTGGGAGGCCTGGAGGGGCCGTGGCCCCACTCGCCATGGCCCCCGTCACTCAGACAGCTCCTTTCAGTGCTGTGGAGCGTGCCAAGCACTTTCACATACGTCTCTTCTTCGTCTCAGTTGATCTTCTGGGAAAAGACCAGACCTTCCCGGGCCCTTTGCCTGAGGTGACTCAGCCTTCACCAGGACTTTCTCACGGGCAGAGTCACGGTATTTGAGGGGAGAGACCCAAGGAAGTGGGTTTTGTGTCTGACTCAGTCATTATTAGAAGGTGAACCAAAAGGTAACCGAGGGGCTCAACATCTGCGCTTCATCTTTTCTCTTGCCCTTTCACCTCTCATCCTGACCTCCAGGTCAGGCCCTGTCCCCTCAGGAGACTGTCCCCTCCCAGGAGGACTGGAGCCCACCTCAATGATGGGGGACAAGGCCCCATTTACCTCACCAAGCCCAGCTGGTGAAACAGGAGAGAACTGGAGGCGGCCTTCAGCTTTCAGAAACCTGCCTTTGTGTCCATTGTCCACTGACACCTAATCCTTCTTTCTTATGCAGATTTGGACACAAGCCCATCAGCTGACAAATGACCATTTCGAGGCTTCCCTTGCCAATCTACATTTCAGTGGCAAAGCTAGGCTGATTCAATTATTTGTACTTTTACCACACTGTATCCCCATTCTTTCGTTAAAAACTAGTGGAAATTAAAAATGAAAGTGTTGAAATTAGCAATAATAAAATCGAGACTGAGATAAGAACCCCTAAGTGTTCAGAATGACAAATATTTACCATGAGGTTTACACTTCTTGATCTTCAGCATATTGCTTAGGGGCTAAGTTGCTGCAATAAAATATTAAAGAACATGTACAAAAGAGTGGAGCCCCGCGTTTTAAGGACAGCGTTGCGGGTGAAATTGAGGACCCCAGAGGTTGGGCGGGAGGCGTTCTGGCAAATCTTCCCTGGTCTCCCAGAGGCCTCACGCGTTCCCTGCGTGATGGACGTGTCTCCCTCACGAGGACAGGGCTCGATGTCACCATGCTGCCGTGGCCCTCCCCGCCGCCCAACCGGCCACGGCATCCCGCAGGCTCCCAGAGCGGTGGCGTCTTCAGGAGAGTGGCCGGGTTTCCTCTCAGGAGCACTGGGGACATGTGGCTGGCAAGGAGTTGACAAGCTCCAGGACCAGCGCAGGTGGTTCGGAGTCACAGCCGCTGAGTGGCTGAATGGAACAGGGTCCCAGACGTGGCAGGACTGGCTGGAGGCTGGAGGAGGGGAACACGGCACTGCCCTCTGGAGGCCCGGGTAGGGAGGCAGGGTCCATGGGTCGTCTCCCCCCACCCCCACCCCCCAAACCCCCCACCCCCGTAACCCCTTTGTTTCAGGCACTTCCTCCACCCCATGTCCTGGCCTGGAGTCTGGGCGGGAAAGGGTGCGGCCAAAGGTTACTCCTGGCACCTGCTTCCCAAGGGAGCTCCTCAGAGCCTGCATTCTGTGCTTCCAGAAGTCAGTTTCCAGCTGTCTACACTATTACCTCTTCAGTTCCAGCCAGCGGTGGCTGTCATACGACTGGGAGAGTCAGAAAACGTGGCGCTGGGATCAGAGCCACAGTGCATATCCCACTCTGCCACAGATAACTGAGTGTTTCTTGTTCGGTCGCTTCACTCCCCCGGCTCAGTTTCCCCTTTGGTAAGTAGTACCGGCCACCTGGACTAGAGCCGTTTTCCCAGTCTTTCCCCATCGTGGCACCCAGACAAACGGACAGAGCACGCCGGGACACTGGGGTGCCAGGTAAGGCTGAGGCCCTGGCCACACGAGGAGGACATTTCCCAGGAATGAAGATGCTCAGGGAGCTGTGAGGCGTCTGTGGCAGGCCAGGAGGGAGCTCTGGGCTAGACGGTGTTAAAACACCACGGGGATTCCAAGTCCGTGTTACTTCCCCACCGCAGGGCCCAGAGCAACTCACTCACTGACACGCTTCTCACTGGAGCTCTGTGTGGACTCCTGTACAATTCTGGGGTCGCATCTTATAAATCCAGAAACCAAAGACCCTCTACGGCAGGGTCCTTATCCCTGTGCCTGTGGACCTGCTGTAAAGTCCCAGGGACGAACTTGAAAAATTCCATCCACCTTCTGAAATTGTAGCCCAAATGTGGTGTGTATGTACATTTTTTCTAGGGAGATATCCATAGCTTTCCTCAAATTACCAAAAGAGGCCACTGTTGAAAAGGACAGGGCTTTCTGCTGTAGGACAAGCCTCATCCATCTTTTAAAACCTGTGGCTGTGTTTTACAATCCCAGATGAGAGCACGTCTGACAGTAGGACAGCGTGGTCAAATCAAAAACACAGACACAGGATCCAAACATGCAAAATGCCAGTACCCTTGAGAAAAGAATCTTCTTACAGAGAACATAAAACAGATTTTAATAACAATAAAATTACAATTTTTTTATATAATTCATTAAAATTATTGCATTAATAATACATATTTACATACTTTTAAACAAAAAGAAACATAAGACATATGGGAGGAAGGGAAGGGTTTTTTTGTTTCTTTTTGGTTTTTTGCTGAGGAAGATTCACCCTGAGCCAACATCTGTTGCCAATCCTCCTCTTTTTGCTGAGGAATATTTGCCCTGAGCTAATATCTGTGGTTAATCTTTCTCTATTTTGTATGTGGGTCGCCACCACAGCTTGGCTGATAAGTGGTGTAGGCCCACGCCCCTGACTGAACACAGGCCACTGAAACAGAGCACGTTGAGCTTAACCACTACACCACAGGCCAGCCCCAGAGGGAAGCTTTTTGACTTAAAAGAAAAAAAACCCAGTCGAAGAATTCACCAACAGTGCTGACGTCCCGTAAGTCATAGATTTTCAGAAAATACCTTTGCTTCTGCTGAGCTGGCTTTCTTTTTTCTGACAGCCTTCACTGGTGTCCTGTGGATGAGGTCATCCATTTATAAGTGTCTTTTCGCTGGAGAAGATGCTACAGTTTTCTGAAATTCACAGGCATGATGAGAGCCCCTGCAAGGACGCATCCCAGGGGCTCACCTTCTCTCCTGCCTCTGGGGCTGCTCTGTCTCTCTCCACCCGCTGGAGAGAAAAGGCTGAGAAGGAAGAGGAAGGCTAGGGAATATTCCCAAATCAGAATGGGCGTGATTCCCCAAATCCTCACCAAGTCACCAGTCAAGGACCACTCACTTACTGAAGCCCAGATGTTCCTGCCTGGGGTCAGTCAAATGGCCAGAGACGGTGTCAGCTGCTCTCAGGAGGCCATCTGGTGTGTCCACATCCCATGAGCCAGGCACTGTAATACGAGCTCCATGAAAGACAAGCAAAGGGCAGAGTGCCATTCAGACATCCGCGACCACTGAGCCTTCTCCAGCGTCGCAGACAGTCTCCAGGTCCTCACCCAGAGAAGAAAAGACCAGGCGAGGACAACGGGGACGGAGTGAGGCACACATTAGGAGCCATCATTTTCCTCTAGAGTGGACCATGAGAAACAGCTTATTTTACTCCATGAGGAATTTGATTCCCACGTTGGAGAGAGAAACCAAGACGAAAAGAAATTACAAACATCTGATTAGAAGGATCTGAATGAGCGAATCACTTCTGGGGGTTGTCCCCTGCCCCTGCAATGAAATAGAGTATTTGCTCCCCCCTCACTGTACCCTTCAAGAGGGAAGAATGAAGGGAGGGAGGCGCTGGGTAAGAATAGTGGAACGAAAAGTAAAAATTATGGGTGAGCCTTGAGGACATTATGCTGAGTGATGTCACAGCAAGATGATCACTGCGCAATTCCCTAACGTGAGGTACCTAGAGTCATCAATTCATAGAGTCAGAAAGTAGAAAGTCGACAGGGGCTGGGGGAGGGGAAATGGGAGTTAGTGTTTAATGGGGACAGAGTTTCATTTGAGAAAAATGAAAAAGTTCTGGAGACGGACGGTGCTGATGGTTGCACAACAACGTGAATGTACTCAGTGCCACGGAACTGTACACTTAACAACGGTTGAGATGGTAAATCTTGTGTTATGTATATTTCACCACAATTAAAACCTTTTTAAAAAGCAAATGTTAGATAAAATAAAGAATAGGTTGGTGTCGAGTGAGGACCTGAGTATGATGATCAGCAAATGTGTGATCCTAGGTCACCTTGGAACATAAATTCTAAAGGACTGGAGTGGGGTCCTTATCACCAAAAAGCCCACCAGACACTGCACACCATCCGTGCCTGTGAAGGAAGGGCCCAGGCCACCCGGTCCTGTTCCTCCCAACCCAGCGAGCTCCTCCCTCCATACCAGGGACACTGTTCTCTCAACTCACCCCTCCTGCGCCCCCTTGCCTGCCCCCATCTCCCATCCTGCCCATCCTGACCCATTCCAGTGACTACTCTTTATGAGGGCCACGCCTTAGTCCATTCAAGCTGCTATAACAAGATGCCACACAGTGGGTGGCTTACAAACAATAGACATTTACTTCTCACAGTTCTGGAGGCTGAAGTCTGAGGTCAGGGTGCCAGCATGGTCAGGTGAGGGCCCTCTTCCAGCCTGCAGACTTCTCATTGAATCCTCACGTGGTGGAAGGAGCTAGGGAGCTCTGTGGGGTCTCTTTTATAAGGGCACTAATCCCGTTCATTAGGGCTCCACCCTCATGACCTAATCACCTCCCAAAGGCCCCACCTCTTAACAGCATGACATTGGGCATTAGGATTCCCACATGGGAATTTTGGGGGACACAAACACTCAGATCATAGCAGGCCACCTATTAAGGCTTGATGTCGTCAAGCACATTGTGCAGAATTCTGGCTGACACAGCCCCACTGGAAAATAAGTGAATTGTTACTTACTTTGATTTGACAGATGAAGTCTTCCAAAGCATGGCACCCCAAGGCCCCCAGGGAGGGTGACTGAAGGGCAATCGGGTGGCACCACAGTTGGTCCCCACTGGTCTAGGTGACCTCTAAGTCACTTCCAGTATCGACGTGCTAAGATTGTGGTCACAGCTATTTATTTGCACTAGAGAGGTGAGAGGGGGTCATAGACACAGCAAATATTCCCTGAGGAACAGGGCCCTGTGGACACCGGTCAGGCATGAGAAAAGTGCCATTATCCTCGCCAGCCCTCCCCAAGCCCATGACCGCCCAGGTTCCCATCTCCACCCCCAAAAGGGTGCCACATCCTGTGCTAAATTTCCTGCCATCTGACTGCAGCTCTACACCCTCCGTGTCCTCTTCTCCAGGGCCCCACATGCTAAAGCTACTCCATGTTCAGCGACTGTTTATGAGTGTTCAGAGCCGACAGGTTACTGAGGGCTTTCTGGGGAGGTGATGTCTTTCCCTAAAGAAGCAGCTCTGATCATAACAAGCAAACCAACACAGGCCCTCTCACAAGTACACAACGGCAAGCTTCACGCAGACATCCCAAGTACAATGCATCCTTGTCCAGCTGTGAGCCACCCTGTGATGACAAACTCTCCATCACGGGGTGATGAAGCCCACGCTGGCCTCCCACGTGCCAGCCGTGAGGTCGCAGGGCGTGCGCTTCAGCAGCTGGACAGGAGACAGTGGTCGATACCTTTTGGGTGGCATGTGATATCTCACTTTTTTCCAGAACTTGGTCTTGGCACACTGTGACTGCTCTGTGAAGGCCCCACTCCACTGGATGGCCCCATGCTTCTGTTTGATGTACTGAATTGACTCTGGCATGGATGTATAGTCCTCGACTTTCTCCAGTTCAATCAGAATGACCTTCATCCCGTCCTGGAGGAGAGCATTGTAGACTGCGATTTGTTCTTCTGACATGTTCTTCAGTAGGTCAAAGCTCAGCGATTCGGGGACTATGATGATGATGAGTCTCCTGCACAGCTTAATGTTTTCATCAATCACATTGGCCACAGCTGGACATAGAGAAAGAAGGCGCAGAATATCTCATGATTAAAAGAGCCTGGACCTTCACACTATTGAGAAATTAGAAATGGGTGTGAAGCAGCAAAAATAGACTTTAAAAAAGACACGCTCAGTCAGGAATGGATTAACAAAAGTTTTTAACACATCGTCTCCTCTGTGAAACTTCCTGACTTTCCCTGAAAAACTGGTCCTCTGCATTCAGGAATGATGTGTTTTGGTAGGTAGTTGTTGGTATGTCGCTATCCCCAGCCCTCTGGCTCCACCCACAGATGTGAACAGCTCAGAACAAGGCTCTTTCACACCTAACTTTGTATGCCCACACTCAGCTGAAGTCTCATATATTTTAGATGAGGAGCACATTTTAAAAAAATAAATAGATTTTAAAAGTATAGGAAAAATGTGGCTAGCTCGAGTCTTGTGTTAATCTTGATTTGTGTTTTCTAGCTATTTAAATGACCAGGATTTATAATTCTAACTCAAAACCAAATAACACACCCCGATGATTTCTTGGGGAAAGGAGGGGTCTTGAAATATCCAGCTGTGGATAAAACCTGGTCTTTTTTTAGAAATAAAGACCAAGTGTCATATCCTCCTTCTTGTTAGGATATAAGAATGAACTGTAACCTCCCCAAGAGGAGCTTCTTCTCTTTGGTTTATTTTTCTATTTCTAGTGCCCAGAACATTTCCTAGCCCATGGCAGGTGCTCAAAAAGTATTTGTTGCATTAGAGAATGAATCGATATCAATATACTGATAAAATAAGGGCTCCTCCATGTGTTTATGGCAAGCACTGATCACATTTTCGCCTCCTCCAGGAGGATGATGTCATAACTCGAAAGGTGTGGGCCTGGACAGAGCTGTGGTCTCGCTGTGGATGTGAACAGCCTACGAATCAAAGTACTTGGAAACTTCTTAAAATGACTCAGAATAGGCCGCTACCCAGTGCTAGTAATCTTGGTTTCCTGGTGACTAGAAAAGGATGTTTATTTCAAATTTCAGCCATTTGCTATGTTGTCTTCAAAGACAGAGAAAATCCAGGACAAGAAGGAAACTTCCCTCTCTAGGGGATCTAGCATGCACTAACGCTCCATACCAGTGCCTGCTCAGGTTTTTCCTCATTTAATTCTCTCATCTGAGGCAAGGAAGCATTCTCATCCCCATTCGACAGACGAGACAATTGAGGCTCAGAGATGTTAACTGCATTGCCCAGGGCCACATTACTACTAAGTGGGAACAGTAAATAAAGAACTTCTATTTTATTTAGGTAGGGGGGTATGGGGGGAAGGAGCTTGAGGTTTATAAAATTAGCTTTAAACATGAGCTGATTTACATATTCAGACTGAAAATATTCCACAGTTAGTCTCAAGGACATGAGGGCGGATGACCACTTGTCTCCCCTTGGTCTCTCTGCCGAGGCTGTGTCATTGGCCCCTGTTCACGTGAATCGGTTAGCCATACCCTTCCTCCAAAGTGAGACTCACATTATTTCAACCACGAGTCCCAGTTACTCTGTTGCAGGAAGGAGCCTAATGAGAGAAGAGATGCAGATCCTAAACCCCTGGGCCCGGGGCTGGCCGGGAGGGAGGCCCTGGTAAAGGGCTCCCCGGTTTCGTGGGAAGGCAAGCAGAGTCCCCAGCATTTGTCCAGCGAAGGAAGGAGCTAAGGAAGACCCCAGAGATACAGCTAATAATACTGTCTCACACACTTGAATGTTGCCGAGAGTGGATCTCAGATGTTCTTACCACGAAAAGAAATGGTAAAATGCTAACGATGTTGATGGGGTGAAGGGGGTAGCTAATAGTATGGTGGCATCATTTTGCAATTTATCTGTATCAAATCCACACGTACACTTTAAACTTACACAATGTCATGTGTCAACTATATCTCAATAAAGCTGGAAAAAAATTTTTGGATAAATAAATAATAAAGGAAAGAAGAGATTCCTTTCTTTTTTATTCATTTGCTATTTTTATGCCTCACTTAACACATACCTTGTCCAGGAAATTCATCCCTGCCAAATATAAACAACTTATATCCACACTGCCTCTCCAGCACCTCGGGCAGGATCTTCAACACCAGCGTGTCCACATCATGGCTCTGGCTTTCTCCTTGAGGCCTGGGGTATAAGACATAGGCATCATACAGCTTCCCATCTGAAAAGGAAATGGGGCAGCTTATGGAATTATTCCGGCCAAATTCTCTTATGGTCACAAAGTGAAAACCTGAGTTGCTACCATGATGTCGTTTCTGCTTGGGTTCAAGGACTTCAGGGCGCCCAGTCGGCTGACTTGGCACCAAGCACTGACACACTAAGCATCGCATTCTCTCGGCACTTAAAATATTTCTCTCCACTCTCTTCTTGCTACACGGTTTCTAAGCTGGATGTAATTCTGACCTTTGTTTCTATACAGGCAAGGTGGGTTTTTCCCTCTGGTTTCTTTTAGGACTGTTTTCTTTGTCTTTGGTTTTCTTTGGGTGTCGTATCTTTGGTATTTATCCTGCTCGCTCTTCTCTGAGCTTCCTGGATCTGTGCATTGGTGTTTGCCGTTAATCTGGGGAAAATTCTCAGTCATTAGTGTTTCCAACATTTCTCTTCCTTGCTGTCTTCTCCTTCTGGTATTCCCATTACACATCATATCACACGTTTTGCAGCTGTCCCACAGTCCGCGGATGTTTTATTCTGTTTGTGTGTTTTGTTTATTTCAATCTGTGGTCTCTTTGCTTCTCAGTTTGGAGGTTTCTACTGAGATATCTTTAAGCTCAGAGATTCGTTCCTCAGCCATCGCCAGTCTACTAACAAGCCCATCAGAGGCATCCTTCATTTCTCTTACAGTGGTTTTTTAAATTTCTCTCACTTCTTTTTGGTTCTTTCTCAGGACTTTTGTCTCTCTGCTTACACTGCCCATCTGTTCTTGCCTGCTGCCTATGTCGTTGATCAGAGCCCTTAGCACATTAGTCATAGTTGTTTTAAATTCCCAGTCTGACAATTCCAACATCCCTGCCATGTCTGGTTCTGATGCTTGCTCTGTCTCTTCAAATTGTGTTTTTTTTCCTTTTAATATGCCTTGTAAGTAGCTCTGGAGAGCCAAACCTGAGGTACCAGGTAAAAGGACCTGCAGTAGACGAGCTGTTAGTAATGTGGGGGGGGAGGGGAGCGGGGGGGGTGGGGAGCCCCACGATCAGCTCGCAGGCTCTCAGGGAGCCTCAGCCTCTGGACCGTGAACTTCACACGTGTTTCTCAGTTTTCCTCCCCCCTTAAGTGGAGCAGGATGGCCAGAGCCGGCTGCAGTTGAGTACTTGCCTTCCCCCAGGTCCGTTAGACTCTGATAAGACCTCAGCAAGCCAGGCTCTCCTTAACTAGTTCTCCCGAGGGCAGGCCTTGTTAAGACGACCAGAGTGCTCTTTCCTATTTCAAAGTGGTTCTTTTTCCCCTCCGCCTGCCAGAAGCACAAAGAGATTTTTCTCCAATATTTACTGTCAGAACCTGGTCCGGCTCCTGGAGGTAAAGCTCACAAAAGTGTGGGCCCCCCATGACTGGGTTCCCCCGGAGTTTTCAAGTTTCAGACTTGTCCACAGGGAGCCTCCAGCAACTTGTCAACAACAGTTCAGATTTCCTACCCCGTAGGGTCTCATTCTCACATTGGGGGTACTGAGACGTCAAGTGCAGGAGCACACGACATCATCACCAGAACGAGCACGTGCTTATGGCACAACCACAAATAACAGTCACCGTGCTCGCTAGTGTGCAGACGAACAAGACGCAAGATCTAACCATGCAGACCGGCCATAGACAGAAATAAAAACAACATAAGGCCCTAAACGGTCACAAAAGGCTGCATGAACAGAGAGACAGAAAGAAAGGAAAATTCCCTACAGTAGGAGTTCTGGAAAAAAATTCACAGAGGACGAGGCACAGCTCCTGGATTTTAAAGGGTGGGGAGGGTCTAGGAAAAAAATGAGAAGCCGGAACTGGCGGGTAAACAGGACGCGAAGGGGGACAGCTTGAGAAGGGATGAACGGGGGATATTTACGCCCTACTCAGGGGGCATAGGGACGAGCATGGAGCTTTAGCAGGGCTCCGGGCTTCACGGGGCGTCTCATCCGAAACCGTGATCCTCACACTCGGGCTGTCTGGAAATTCAAAGCCAACCGAGTGGGAACTGGGGAGGCAAGCCATCCTTTTCTATTTCCTCTCTGGAAGTTTGTGTGATGGACAGACTTGAAGAGACAGGTGGTTCTAAGCCTAATGAAGGAAATCTTGTATTCTTCTAGTTTTCATCTAAATAGCAGTAGCTAAAATGTGAACGGAACTTCAGAGTTTACATGGAGCCTTTCCTCATCCCCTTGATTCTCACACCAAGCACTGCCAGCCTTCAGGTCTCTGCTCACCATCCCTGGCCATCCTGTGGAAAATGGCAACATGCAAGCACACACACATGAACACGCATGCGAACTCCTTCTCTGTCTACCCACGCCCCCATCATAACGCGAGGCTGTGTGAGAGGGGGCCTTTGTCTGGCTCCTGTTCCACCCTCAGCGCCTGGAGCAGGCTCTGGTGCAGAGGGACCTCCATCAGTTCCCGCCAAATGTCTGCACGGAGCTTGATTTTACAGCGGCTCAAAGATCTTGTGTCTATGTGGGGGACAGAGAAGTTCTGGATCATGAACAGATTCAGCGTTTAATTAAATTAGGGCTATAGGGCAGGTACTAAAGGGATGGCTAATTGTGTCTAGAGTTGGCAAAAACCTAACCCAGCTGAAACTCCTTGCGGAATGTCTTAAATGTCACTAGTCTGTACTGCCACCCTATAAGTGGATATTTTCCTGTTTAAAATTTAATGTCATATACTTAACTTTCTAAAGTCAGAGGATGGATCTATATATATAGAGATATATGTAAATATATAAAATATATATGTATATAAAATGGAAAAATTTCATAAAGTCCTTATGTTTCTAAACTTTATAGGAAGAAATTAAATTTCTGCATCTAAAAATAAAATATTTATCCTTTTATGATAAAGGACTGGTTGGGTTGACACTGTATTTGTCACCTCATGGATCCTCCCTGGTAAATGCAGTATTTCCTGGTCTCTAAACTACAGTGAACGTCCGGGTCCATGGCCACCTCTGTCCCAGGCCCTGCCACTGGTGTCTTTCTTCTCTTAATCTGTTTCCCTTTTATTCCCACTGATTTAAAAAAAAAACACATTTTTGCTGAGTGAATTCCCTCTTTGGCAGCATTCCATGCTTCCTGATGCTCAGCCAGGCATCTGAGGATACAGGCTCTCCTGCTGCGCAAAGTGAAAACGCAGAGACTGATGAGACTTGGCAGCCAGAGAATCTCACACCTTTGAACAACTGAAGATATAGAAATCTTTTGGCCATCTTTTTTTTTCTTTCTGACTAAGCTTTTTGGGTAAAAATATGACTCGTTCCTGACTTGTTCTCAAAATGCATGGGTTCTTGTCACTTTCAAATGACCAGTTCGTGATTCACTGACCAACATAGCAGAAGATCAAGATGTAGCCATTTTACTTTTTGCTTCAGCTGCTGGTTTGAAGGGTACTCTCAGGCAACTGCATGCCGGGACTTCATGGCTTTGCCCCTCACAGTTGACTCATATCCTCAGATGACAAGCAAGGAGGTTGGGACCAACGAGGCCACATGATTTCTCCAAAGTCTCCCAGCTGGCAGGTGCAGAATTGATTCAAACTCAAGTCCCCCACTCCCTCTGGGGTGGCTGAGACAGAACTGGGAGCAGGACACTTCACACAGCCTCTCCCTGAGTCGTCCTGGGCATCTGTGTCAGACTGTATTTTCCAAAAATAGCCCTAGGAACACTTCCAGTCTCACATGGTCTTTCAGAACTTTGCCACATCCCCAGAAAGAGGTGGAATCTCTCTCCACTCCTTTAAATTTGGGCAGGACTCCGCAGCTGCCTTCACAAACAGAATGTGGTAGAATTAATATCAGAAATTCAGAGTCTGAGTCATAAAAGACAATATGGCTTTTACCTGGCTCTGTTGCTCTTGAAACACTAGCCCTTGGAAGCCAGTCACTATGCTGTGAGGAAGCCTAAGTAGCCCACACAGGCTGCCTGGAGAAGCCCCCCAGGGAGGGGAGCTGAGGCCCCTAGCTGCCAGCCCTCCAGCTGAGGCCCCAGACAGGCATCCTCACTCTGCCTGTCTGCATTCTTGAGTCACAGAATCCACAAGCAAAATAAACGGTTGTTTTATGCCATGAAGTTTTGAGGTAATTTGCTTCTCAGCCATTGAAGAAATAACAATGAATAGCAACAAATAACGATGAGTTGGACACCCCCCAACTGTCTGTTTCATCAAGAAAATTGCAAAACTGTAGACCCGCTAGTGAGTTTTCTGAGGAAGGTGGGTCCTGCTGGCAGATACTCACACAGCCCACCTCTTCATAGTGCAGGGTGACTGTTTACCCAGGTTCTGACTAAGCTCTTCTCATTTTCTAAAGAGATTCAGCCCTACTTTTGATGTTAAAGCATCTACATATGACTTTACTGGCTGTTAGCAAAAATACAAAAGTTTATTTGCATTTATTTACGAAAAGTTGCCTAAAGATTTTTCTAAATTCCCTACTTTCTTTCCATATGATATTGCTAAATTTTAAACCTGATCAAACTGGACGAGTGGAAATATCAGACAGACTCAATTAGGCCTTCGGGTAAGTGCTTTTACTGAATTGCCTGAGGTTTGGTGTTTTAGCCCTAACATGCTTAGAAGACGCTAGAAGAAAAGCCACATAAAATCTGTTACATTTGCCATAGGAATGTTGTTGCAAATGCAAGGTTCATTACATCACACCCTTTAAAAATGAGGACTCCCGAAAAAAGATTTCCTTGGAAAATTGTCCCAAAAAAAGCCCTGTGCTGAAAGGTATTTGTGAACGGTATGCAATGAATGTTATAACTGCTGTTGCTTTTACTTCTAAAGTGAGCTCACCTTTAAAAACTGTCCAAGATTTCTCATTACATCTATCCTGGCTGTATTTTCCCATTCTACCCTTGCTCACTGTACCTGTTTTGTTTTTGTTTTAGTCGCTCTGTTCTACATGTACATTCTTCACAAACCTGTTTGGAATCAAGTGAGGCATATACACACCTCTCTAGTAGAATCGTAAACTGATCCTTATATTTTGTACATGCGGGCACACCTGGCAGGAGAAGTTTTAAATTACCTCCTATGACTTTAATAGAGAACATACAGAACTCATGGACTTTAGCCAGGCCTGTCGATGATCCTTAAAACTGTGAATATATACACCTAATTATTAGTCATGTTATACAGCTTGACTAATCTAGTTGGAGTAAACAACTTCTCATAAGGACGCCATGTCTCTCTCCTCATTTGTCTTTGCCGTCCATCACTCCACTGTTCCCAGATAACTCAGAAAATATCCTCAAGGGGACAAACTGGAAAGAGCGTCCGGGACTCATCTGTAGCTCATTGTGAAAGTCAATACTCAAAGGAGAATTACAGGATAGTTCTCACAGATCGAGCGGTAGAGAATTTACTCAGGAAGCGCACACGTACTTTTCTGAAGGATGAAAAAGAGGGAGCCTGACTGTGAGCTCTGATCTCTGGATCCTCAGCCCACTGGTTCCGCGTTCGGGCTGCAGCCCAGTCTCGGCAGAGGGTGGGGCTCCCTGACTCTCTCGTGGGCTCAGCTCACTCTGCTCAGGGTGAGTCACTACTCCTTTTTTCTCTTCCTGCTAAACTTGACCTCACTGTCAGGCACTTCCCCACACTCTCAGTACTCACGATCCTGGGAGTCGCAGTGAGTCAGGGAGTGAGAAACCCACGGGCCAGAGTTCCAGGACAGCCCCTAAGTCCTGCACACCCCTGTCAGTCTGCAGCCGAGCCACTCACTCCCACATGTCAGAAGAGACAAGTGATGGTGAATAAAGTCTCTTCTAGAACAGACGCAGGCAGAGCACAGTCACAGCGTGGCTGATGCAAAGCGCCCTCTGCAGGGACCACAGCCCAAAATAGAAACACCACGTCCGATCTGACTGTCTGCAGCACTGGAGGAGCTTTTGGTTGCATTGCACTCGCAAAGCCAGATTTCCACAACTGAATTTTGTCATCAAAAAAGACCTCCTTGCTTCCCACATTGCTCAAGGGTTGCCTGTTTGGAATTCCGAGCTTTAACTGAGGATAAAATCCAAGTTAGGACATCTATGTTGATCAAACCTGTGGACAACAATGTGTACTCTGCTTTTTTTATGAGCAAGCAGGCCCCTATTGAGAATCATGCCCTTCCCTGGAATAGGGACTCGTGACACGTGCACGAACGTCCTCTTCCCCGAGTTCCGCTCTGGTTAACGCTGCAGGTCTCTGGGCTTGAAAGGCATACATACACTTGTGTGTCTCCACACGTGTGAGCTGCACAGACTTCTCCCAGCTTAGTGCTAACTTTTTCATCCAATTAGGGGACTTTAAAGTAGATTTGTTACTTTTTTCAAGGCCTTAATAGAGCATATCATTCTGAGACAAAAAGAGAACAGTACAGAGAGTTAAACCCCAGCGGTGGGAAATGCCTGCTCCTCACAGTTCCCAGCTCACACTGGGGTGATTCTGTGCTGAACAGCACCGGCAAGACACGGCTCCACGGACCAGACGGAAACCCCGGGGCACAGCGGCAGGGGCAGCTTGCTTGGATCTTCAGATGGCAAAGAAGCCCCCCTGTGCCCCAGGTCCCCGCTCAGTGCTTTCCTGACTTTGACTCAGTTGCTCCTACAGCACTCCGTGAGGCCAGCTCTCATCATTTTCCCTTCTTTCCTTCCTTCCTTTCTTCCTTCCTTCCCTCCTGCCTTATATGATAAAGTATATTTACAAAGCTTATACGGGTGAGCAGATACCAATTATGAGGCATTTTTCAGTGGTCACCCACACTTACCTTCTATGGTCCCAGTGGAATGGAAGGCACTTCGATACCAAAGTACAATGTCGATCTTAAAAATGTTGTAGATGCACAAGACAGACACCACCACCCCTGTCAAGGCGACAAGCCCTCCTATAAGGTAAGCTCGAAAATCTGGAACTACAAATGACAGCAAAAGAAAAATAATATAATAATAATACAAAGAGTCAATTATACACTTTACTACAGATCACGGTACAAATGACAAATGGAAACGTATTCGATGTCAATGAGGATACTGCTTAAATATTTCTTTACAGATAAATAACAGGTATGGGAGTAGAACAACCTGGTCTGGACCACGAGTTTTAGGAAACGAGTGCTCTTGGGAACCTGGGGAGGGAAATTCTGCAGAACCCTAGCACCCAAAAGTCCATGCAGCACGACTCCGATTGCACGAGGAATGCTGTCGAAACACTCCTGGTCAGGTCCTATTGGTCCACAGTAGACTCTCCAGAGAGGGAGTCTGAGCACGTTCATTGGGAAAGTTCTCCAGGTGGTTCTGTGGCACATTCTTTCTTTTTTTTTTTTCTGCTTTTTCTCCCCGAATGCCCCCAGTACATAGTTGTATATTTTAGTTGTGGGTCCTTCTAGTTGTGGCATGTGAGACACTGCCTCAACGTGGCCTGATGAGCAGTGCCATGTCTGCGCCCAGGATCCAAACCAGTGAAACCCCGGGTTGCAGAAGCTGAGCATGCGAACTTAACCACTCGGCCACGGGGCCGGCCCAGTGGCACATTCTTGATTGTAACACTGTTATAACTGCTTTCCCACTTACTCAAAACCCAGCAGCAGGACTCGAGTCATAAATAAAGAGCCATCAGTTGCCTCCCCTGGAAGCCATCTCTGCTGCCTCTACTACACTGGTCAACAGCCAGACTCCCCCTTCATCCTCTCTGTGCCAGCAGACTCCTGGCTGAGCGCCTGTCAGAGACACAGCTCAGGAAGGGCGTTGACACCCTGCTCTGCTTTGTGAGCACGCTGCAGAGCAATTATGGCAAAAGCAGTGGGCAGGAGGTGGCCAAGGAGCAGAACCAGCTCCTCTGGAACTCCAAGTCCCCGAGAACAGGCTCCCACATGTCTGAGAAGAGGAACAGCACTGCTCTCTCCCTTACCGCAGCCCAAACCTGTGCTGCCCAAGACGGAGCCTCTAGGAAGGAGAGCAGGAGAAAAGGGGAACCTGTTCTTAGAAGCCACCACACACGCCACTTCTTTCATCAGCTCCTCTGATCCTCCGCCCCACCAGAAAGTGTTGGGGACAGGAGGAAGGGGAAATTCTCTTACTTTGAACCCCCAGAGTACTTTCATTTTTTTAAATGCTTATCGAAGAGCTTGTCACAACTGGCCCTAGGCCACACCTTGTTGCAAACATTTTGAGGGCAAGGACATGCTTATGTACTATTGCTTGTCTTTAAATACACGGCATAAGAAAGCACAATAACTAAAAACACATTCCGTGCTGAAGAAAAATCAATCCATTGATTAAGTCCCAGCGCAGCTGAGTGGATCTGCCTGCACACTGGTGCCGAGACGGACCCTGACCACTGCTTTGAACCTCTGGCTTCTAAATATTAGATGGATTCTCCCTTCCCTCCCATTCTCTACTTCTCTCTGCCCTTTCCTGGCTCTTGGAGCAAGAGTGCCACCTCTCCCCTTGGGTCTGGTAGACTTTAATGTATGCTTCAGGGATCTTGGTACTGTAAACATTGTGAAAGAAGACCATGCCCACGCAGCTATTAGATCCCAGAAGGCCCTGTAGCCTGGAGTGACGGCTTGAAATTCTTGAGCTGATCATGCATCATATTCAGGAATGTTGACACCCTCCGCTCTTTAAAGGAGCTCAAAGTCGAGGAAATTGGAAACAGGAAATTAATGAATAAGTTCAAAGGGAGTATGAGTTTTGGAATTGAAACAAGTGGGAAACTCACTGATGAGCCCCCAGGGGCCATGTTGAAGGTCCTGTTAAAGCTGGTCTTCACCATTTGGGTCCATATGGCTACCATCAGCCTTAAACTGAGATGGTAGCTGAGAACAGTGATTAACAGGAATTCACGGAAGAGCACACCCGATCTAAACAACTTTCTAGTGACCCTGCTCAGACAAAGCAAAAAAGATTCAACTCTGGAGGTGTCTTCAACAAAAATAAGGAAGTCAAATGGAGAAGCTGTAACCTTACTTCTGGCCACAAGTAAACCAAACACGAGACTTGGATTTAAGGGGGTAATGTTCCTAAGAAGTTATGGGAAACAAAACAGTGCACATGTCTAAAAATACATTGAATGTGAGATACAAAGTAAGTGTTGATAGGAACAAAGACGAATTTAGCAAGCACAGGTTTCCTAACTGACTTAAAACAAAGGAGACCATCCACTCCGCCTCCTCCTGCGTGATCAGCAAGTGTTAATGGATTACGGTATTAGTTACCCTGAGCCTGGTGAATCCTTCTGAGCAGAGTGCTTCTGAGCACAGTGCTTCCAGGTAGTCAGTACTGACATGGAAACCCATATTGGTCATCTTCAGTCTAGGCTACTAAACAAAGATCTCAAACTTCTAGATTGAGACAGATTTCAGTCCTAGCCACTTCAGGTCTCCTGCAATCTCCCAGTCATGCCACAATCAGCTCTCTCTGTTTTCTTTGGGGTGGACCCTGAGGTACTCTTTCTAGAAATTCTACTTTTAATGACAGATGCATGCTTCTGCATGAGTACCAGGACACACACACAGGAATATCCAGCACAGCATCATTTGTTAACTATCTCAAACTGGAGACAACTCAAATGACGACATATTTATAGCAGAATGGATGAATTGTGACTGACTGATTCAACGGAATAGGATTCAGCAAAGACCATAAATTAACTACAGCCACATTTTACATCACTGACACATCGATGAACCCCATAAAACTAAGAAGCAAGACATAAAAGAAAACATACTGTATAATTCTCTTTACATAAAGTTCAGAATCAGTCCAGTAGGCAGTCGGAAATGCAGGCCTGTCCTACGGGAAGGAAGAATACAGTTGGAGATGCAGAATCTGTCTGCACCTGCACAGGGTTGACAGCTGAAGCCATGAGAGTAAGAGAGATCATCAGGGACGAGAATGCAGAAAGAGCAGCACTGATGATAAAACCTCAAGAATCACCCAGATGTGCCCCAGAAAGAGATGGGAGGCACAAGATTGATTAGGGGAAAAGCGATCAAAAGTGACTTCCTATGACAAGGAAAAGCCCTGAGAAGAGGAAAAAGGGACAGTGGTGGCTGATGAGTCCAAGGCTGCTTCTGCCCGATGCAACCTAAGAGGGTTCCCCATGGGTCCAGAGTGAGGAGAGGAGGTGCTGCGTACTCACTCCCAGTGAAGGCAGCTGGGACAGAGGTCTTGGAAATGACCTGACCTGAAGGTCACGAAAATGAGGTCTAGAATGAGCCCACCTCAGGACTGCAAGCTGCTGTGGACATACCCCTGAGCACTGCTATTCAAAGGCAGGTGACGGACACTCACGAGTCCAGGATCCTGGCGGGGCAAAGACACATTTGCTGGCTCCACACAGCAGCCACCAAACTAAAGCTTTACGTTAAGTTATCGAAAAACATTTCTGGTAGGACTTGAGCCAGAGGCAAGCAAACGTGGGTTTGACTGATCCTTAAGGGACACTGGCAAATTCAAGCCCTCTCTTGTGCATGTAGCTAGCCAAAAAAAAAAGAGTTGATATTAATAGAATTTAAAAAAGAAGCCGTCTTGGTAAACCACACATCAACATCTTACAAAGTCCTTCATCCACGTCCCCTGATACATTAAGAATTTAAAGTTGTTCTCAAGATTGTGATTTCGTGTTTCGCTATCTATCCTCTGCCAAGACAGTTACCTCCAATGGGTAATCCACACTCTGGACAGCGTTAAGAGCGCAATTTGTGTACATATATGGCGCTTGGAGCTCTCCTGCTCAAATATCAGAATTCAGCCTCTACAGATAATTTTACAAAGTCATATGATAAAAATATACATAGGCATTTTATTTTCACACCAAATTATTTATAATAAGTGAATTAAAAGCTGAAAATCACAAGCACATGATTATAAAAGTTGAACAATCAGGTTTAATAAAGGAAAACTCTTTTCTAGAATTTTGATACATAAAATCTCAACATATATTAATACGGCACTTTCAAAGTGTACTGCAACAAAGTCACAGCCTTCGTCCAAGAACACTGTCAGAAATGGCATCAATTTCCCCAGGTTTCACATTGAGCATCTCTATTTAATACCACTCTGTAACCTTACACTGAGCGTTTAATGTCACATCTTTCAAACGTATTTCCTTGCCATCATTTTGAACACTCTGAGCAGTATGTTACCCACTGGAACATTACCTGGGAGTTTTAACACGAAGTATGCTGCCGACACTCCAGCATGGCATGTGAAAGGATGGCCATAATCTTCCATTTTCACTTCTAAGAAGGTTATGTTCACTGTGTAAAACTTATGGTCCTGAAAAGAAGTTTCATTTCTACAAAATAAAAGAGCCAGTCATTAATACATGAGTTCTATTTTACCCAACATACAGTTTTGTGCTACATAATGACATTTCGGTCAATGACGGACCCCATATACGACGGAGGTCCCATAAGATTAGTACCATACAACCTAGGTGTAGAGTAGGCTATACCATGTAGGTTTGTGTGAGGACACTCTATGATGTTGACATGACAAATTGCTTAATGATACATTTCTCAGAATGTGTCCGCATTGTAAAGCAACACGTGATTGTGTTATAATCTTTCGGCTGAAGAATAAAGTTCGAAACTCTAGAGCACTCCGGGCCATTTCTTCTGGACAGTGATGCGGGCATGGTGCTGTTAACTACAGACACCATGCTCACCTAAAGGGCCTCCCCCTGTTTCTCTCCACTTATCCTAACTTACTAGGCTGCAAAGCCCAAGACAAGTTCTTCTGCCTCTGACTTCATTAGTCTTGTTTTACAACACTCAATTTTTACCACCATAAATAATGTTTATACCACTCAACTAGCTAATGATTATGTACTGTCTCCCCTAAAAGTCCCGTGTTGCTGCTGCTTTGCTCTTTAAGCCTTGAAGGCCTAGAGCTCATAACGTACCTAAATAGAAATGAGGCTGATTTTACACAGTAACTGAGAGAAATTGACCTGGTTGCTTGAAGTCCATACTTCATGTTCTGCCTCATCTCTGCAACTAGGACGGAAGCGGGATTGATAACATGAGCACCTCACACTCCTTCAGACCAGATGCTTGGCCAGACACAGCACTGAGAAGGTCTTTGAAAGACAAAGCCAAAAGGAGTGATGAGGGGGTAGTGAGAACCATCTAAAAAGAGTAGTACTCGCACCACAATAATTTGCACGAAGAAATCCTTGCTAGCTGTTAGGGAAGCCAGAGAAACAAAACACCTACTCAATTCCTTCTTGGATTCGTCTGGAAGCACTGTAGTAAATATCCACTGAAGTGTTATTGACTCTCCAGCATCGTAGATTGGTATTGTCCTTCGTGTCTGTTATATTGCAGTCTACAATAAGGGTGGAGCCTATAAAAAGCAAATTTATAAATATGAAATGAAAATTCTATAAAAAACAAGCTGGTTAACAAAGGCACCTTGCTTTTGAGCCTTGATATCTTTTCATTACCAGAAATACTCCCGAGGACAAGGTTAATCGACTTTATCCTCTCCCAGGAGAGGGATCATGGGGATAAGCAAGCTTCCATCATGTCCACTGTAAAGAGCTACCCACCTGCTGCCAAACGCCAGCAGCTTCTGCCCCATGTCCTCCACAACATCAGGGGCACAAACACGACTTCTGCTCTTAGCAAACTTAGCAAAGGACTTTACAGTTTACAAAGCATTTCACCCACACTTTCCCCTTCAGAGTTTATATCTCCAAAACAACCCTACAAGGCAGAAAAGGGGAGGTGCTTTTATCCTGATTTTACGGATGGGAATACAGAAGTTCAGATAGATGGAGTGACTTGCCCAAAGTCCCACGTTAGAGGAAGAAATGCAATGTGAACTCTGGGTTTCTAATTCCAAATCCAGTGACAAATCTCCTTCACCAGTTTTGACCCCTACCCTTTCCCCTCATTCCCTTATCCTGCCTCCATACACATTCACAAATTATATTTAATACATTTATATTTCCACTTTATTTTGCGCCATGAGCCTGATAAATTCCATCCAGTTACTGCACATAAAAAAACATTACTGTATGGACCAGCCTGGTGGTTAAGTTCACATGCTCCGCTTTGGCGGCCCGTAGTTCACAGGTTCGGATCCCAGGCCTGGACCTACATACCACTCATCAAGCCACCCTGTGGCAGAAACCCACATATAAAACAAAGGAAGATTGGCACAGATGTTAGCTCAGCGAAAATCTTCTTCAAGCAAAAGGAGCTGTGAATTGGATGTGATAATTAGGTCATTGGCACCCTTTCTCAAAGCATTTTTGCATAGAGGTTGGAGAGGAAACTGCATTTGGGTAGGTTAAGAATTGAGTTGAAGATGAAGAATTTCAAAGTATAAACTATTCTTATGATTGCTAACAGATGTTCGCTCAGGGCCAATCTTCTTCACCAAAAAAAATTACTTTACTTCTAAACTGTCTACTTCAAGTCTCTTTGTTCTAGGTGGTATTAAGTTTTTTAAAAAGGTTTTTGTGAAATATAACACACACATAGTGATAAATATAGAATATTAATGTGAAGTTACTGACTTATTGTAAAGCAAATATTCACACCACTCCACCCCATCAAGCAAACAGTATATTGCCAGAACCCAGACACCCGACACGTGCCCCTTCCCTACTTTGTGTTTTATCACTTATGTATTCATTCCTGACCACTAGCTTCATTTTATTTGTGGTGTTCATCCATGCTGTTGCATGTGGCTATACTCCACTCAGACAAGGGAATATACTAGTACTTACTTATTTCCTCTGCTGTTGCTATATATACATTTATGTTGTTTCCAGTGTTTGCCTCGGGTGCCTACGGTTGCTCCGAACTCTCTGCATGCCTTCTGAGGCACCGTGTGCATATTTCATATATACACACCCACGTACATGTTGGGTATGCATTCTCTTCTACCAATCAAATTGATAGATCATAGACTGGCATCTCTTTTGAAGTTGAAGATATGCACAAACTGTTTTCTAAAGTGGCTGCACCAGCTTACCCTTTGCCCAACAGCGTATGAGAGTTCCTGTTGCTTTGCATGCTCCACAATACGTGGTATTGCCAGCCTATTTTATTTTGGCCATCTTGATGTATGTGTCCTGGTATCACATTGTGACTTTAATTTGCATTTCCCTTAATTTCACCTGGCCGAGTACGTTTTTATACCTTCATTGGCCACGTGGAGCTCCTCTGCTGTAAACTTTCTGTCCAACTGCTGTGTCTTTCCTTCTACCAAGCTGTCTTTTCCTTATGACCTTGGAGGAGTTCTTCATAGTTCCGGATATGAGGCCTCTGTTCACTTACCGCCAGTGTCTTTTTCCAGTCTGAGGCTTGTCTTTTCATTCTTTTAATGTCTTTTAATAATCAGAAATTCTTATTTTTGACGTAGTCCTACTTGTCAATTTTTCCTTCAAGACTAGTAACTTAAATGTCATTTTTTTCATCTTTACTTAGCCCAATCATGAAGATGTTTTTCTAGAAATTTATTGTTTTGTCATATTTAGGTCTACAATTCACTTGAAATTATGTTTTATAAACAGTGTGAGACAGGGGTCAAGTTGCCCTTTATCCTATATTGCATCCCACTGCCCAGGGCCAGTTATTGAAGAGGCTGTATTTGTCCTACTTCTCCGTAGTGTCGACTTCACCAAAATCAAGTGCCTTGGATGTGCAGATTTGTTTCTGGGCCTTCAATTCCGCTCCATTGTCTATCCTTGTACCGGTACAAGACTGTCTAAATTACCGTAACTTTTTAATAAATATTGAAATCGGGTAGCGTAAGCCCTCCCATCCAGTTCCTCTTCATTAAAAGTGTCTTGACTACTATTTGATCTTTGCATTTTTCATTCATGTTATAATCAACATTAAATTCTGCAAAAACTAAAATCTGTTAGATTTTGATTGTCTTCTTCCTCAAAACAAAGGAAAAGTGTTCAATAGTTTAGTCTTGAGTGTGCTGTTTCTGTAAGTTTCTAAAAATAGATTTTAAAAATCAGATTCAGGAAGTTCCCTTCCATTCCTAGTTTTAAAAGAGCTTATATTTTTAAAATAACGAATTCTTGGTTCAAGTTTTCTAAATGACCTTTCAGTATCTATTGAAGTAAGTGCATTAATTTTTCTCCTTTAGTTTGATAATGCAAAATAAAACGATGAATTGGCTAGTGTGAAACAAATTTGCATTTTTCATTTGAGCCCAGTTTAGTCACACTGTAGCATCCCCCACAGGTATCGTTGCATCAATTTGCTGATACTTGTCTTAGAAGTTCTCATCTGTGTTTACAAGTGAGACTGGCCTGAAATTTTCCTTTGTGATAATGTCCTCGTTGGGTTTGGGTGTCAAGGTTTTCCTGACCGAATAAAATGACTTAAGGATTGTTTTCTCTTTTTCTACACTCTGAAACAATTTGTTTAAAATTGATGTTATTTCTTTATGGAATGTTTTGTACGATTCACCAGTAAAGCCACTTGGATCTAGAATTTTGTTTTGGGGAAGATTTCAGATTTGTTTAATGGTTATGACTGTTCAGAACTCTCTATCTTCTTGCGTCTGATCCTACGTGTTGATTTTTATAGAAATTTGCTGGTTTTACAAAATTTTTCAAATTGTTTGACACTAAGTTTTTCCGAATATTCTTTTCTGATTTTTTAATGCCTATATGATCTTTGCTGATGGCCTCTTTTTCCTTCAGATTGTGCCATCTCTCTTCTCTTAATCAGTCATGCAGGGCTTTATCAATTTTATTTCATTTTTCAAAAAACCAACTTCTTTCTTTGTTAATCACTCAATAGTATGTTTATTTCCTATTTCACTATTTTCTGCTATTACAATCACATCATTTCTCTATTTTCCGGGTATATTTTGCTTCTCTTTTCCTGTCTCTAGAGGGGAGCACTTAGCTCATGGATGTTTCAATCATTTCCTTTTTATAATCGAGGCTATAAATTTTGCTCGAAGAAAATCTTTGCATCCCATCAATTTTGATATCTTTTCATTAACATTCACTTTCAAATTATTTTCTGATTTCTATTGCAATTTCTATTTTGATCTATGAGCTACTCAGAAGTTTTTTTTATTTGATTGTTTTCAAACCATGTGGTTATTCTGGTTGTCTTTCTACTATGTATCTCGAACTTTACTGGATTGTCATCTGAGACACGTTATATGATTTCAGTCTGTTGGATTTTGTTGAGACTAACTCTATGGCCAGTGTATGGTCAATTTTATCAAACATCTCATTTGCGCTTAGAAACAATGTATAATCTATAGCAGTTGGTGACGGCGAAATTTATGAACATTAGGCCATTTGTTAGGCACAGTTTGTTAATTATGATAGGATGTTTTGTTTGCTTGTTCTCTCAGCTACTGTGAAAATTGTCAACATCTTCCACTATCATTGTAGATTTATCAATTTCTCCCTGTAATTCTCTCTCTGTCTGTATTTTTACATTTTTAAGGTTATGTTATTACATATCTACAGGTTCAAGATTGAACTTTTCATCTTTATGAAGTATCTCAGTTTACCTCTAATAATACTTTTGCCTTGAGATCTACCTTGACATTGGTATAATTATACCAACATTATTTTGGTTAGTGTTTATATCATTTTCTATCCTTTTATCTTCAAGCATCTTGTAAACAGCACAGAGTTTTGATTTGTTTCAAATTCAGTATGACAATCTTTTTATTTGGAGCAATTAGTCCATTTTGTGATATTTGTCAGGGTAAGTCAACTATCTTATGTATATATATCTTATATATCATACATCTTTAATATATACATATATCATATATTTTCTGTTTGTTGCTTCTATCCTACATTTGTCTTTTCCTTCTTGCCTTCTTTTGGATTCCCTCTTACCTTCTTTTTGATTATTTTTTATTATTCCATGTAACCCTATATTTTAAAAATTATTATTCTTTTAGGGTTACTCTAGATATTAAAATATATATCCTTGGACTTACCAATCTGATATTATTGATATTTTTGTCCATTTTAAAGCAATGTAAAGTCTTAGAATGCAATTCCATTTACCCTTCTCCCTATATACAGGCGAATTCTGTCGTGAATTCTAATTTCATACATTTTTTAATTCCATAAACAACCATGATTATGATTCCTTTAGGCAGTCAAGATTCATTTAGATTCACTCACATATTTACAGCAATATTTGCTCCTTCATTCCCTCCTACATAGCTGGTTTACCCTCTGGGAACATTCTCCTTCCGGCTGAGGAACACTCTAACAGTTCCCTTAATGTAGGATTGTGCGTAGCAAATTTTACCATTTTTAGCTTGTTATATTTTCACCGATTATAAAATTAGCAGGTTTTTTTCAGTACACAACCTCCATTGTTTCT